GCTCAAATAGGAAAGTTCTTGACCCAGTCCTCAATCAGGTCTGTTTATGCAAAGGAAGGATCCAAATTTGTGTAGCTCTGATTGGTCAAAATAGTTGAGGGTGGTTTCCAAGCCCCAAATCAGAAGTCTCTGTCAGCCAGATGTCTTTCAAAGGGGTGTGTGTATTCCAGCCATAGTTTATCTTGGCACTGACACCCAACAACAAGAACTACCATGTTTCCCCGAAAATAAGACAGGGTCTTATATTTTTCCTAAAGAAGACACCCTAGGGCTTATTTTCAGGGTATGTGTCATTTTTTTTAAGTACGGTACAACAATCTACATTTATTCAAATATAGTTAAGTCGTCGTCTTCTGGAACATCATGATCACTCTCCAAACCCCGAATTCCATCCTGAATGTCTTGCGACTCTATTTCTTTCAGAACCATCAGCCCCAATCTCTCATGTGGGGCAATAGAGCTCTGACGGGGCAGATGAGAAGGGCCGCTCGTCTTCTTTACCACTCCATGACGACATGCTTGGGGTGTGCAGACGCGCTGCGTGGCCACGTCCATCACTAGGGCTCATTTTCGGGGTGGGGCTTCTATTGCGAAAATGCTTAGGCATCCTGCTAGGGCTTGTTTTATGGGGAGGTCTTATTTTCGGGGAAACACAGTGGAAAGGGGAGGTCCTGTGACACTTTCACATCCTTCTGAATCTTTCTGAGAACACAGAGTGTATGATGCTCCCACCCAGCCATTGCCACTTTGTTCTGTTTTAACTTTGAACACCTCAGCCACAAGGAGTGCATTTGTTGGCCAGGGGCATGCTTTAACGCTGTAATGGATACATGTCATTATACTTTTGTCAAAACCAACAGAATATACAATACCAAGAGTGAACCCTAATGTAAACTACAAACCTTGGGTGATAAGTTCATTGATTTTTAACAAATGTACCACTCTGGGGATATTGATATATTGGGTGATAACCCAAAATAAGTGACTGAGGCAAAGATCTCAATCAATGGAGGTTTATTAAGCCAAAGTATGAGGATGTGCCCAGGAAAAAGACAAACCACAGACTGTTTTTGAAGGGGGATTAGGGAACTTTAGTATTTAAAGGGGAGGAGACATACAAAAAGAAAAAGGAGGAGGGGGTGGGTAGAGAGGGAAGTAGTTACATTCTTATGAGGCTGAGGAAATCTACATTTTATATAAGGTAAGGTAAATTTCTGAAGAGAAAAAGGAGTGAAGAAAAAATCAATTATGCAGATATCCCCGGGTAGGTGGAAGAATAATTGATCTTATCCTTTCTCTGTTCTGCACCAGGGAAGATAAAGTTTTAATCAACATTATTAATGTGTAATGAAACAGACTTTAGTTTTAGGAGTTAGACTTAGCTTGCAGAGCTTATGGGAGGCCAGAGAGGAATTTTCTTATGAATGAACTGGGGGTGGGGGCTGAGGGATGGGCAGTCCTTGATAGATACTTGAGGCTTTTTACCTTCCCCATGGGAATCTGACTGATGCACAATGTTACAATGTTAGGAACAGCTGTTCATTTGGAGAAGGGTGTTGCATGATTCAGCCTCCAGGCTTGACTTTCCCTTTTGCATAAGGAGTTGGGGGGTCCTGAGATTTCTCTTTTCCTTTACATGGGGAAGGTTGTACATATTGTAGGGAAAGGGGGCATATGTGAACTCCTGTACCTTATGCTCAATTTAGCTGTAGACCTACTACAACTGCTTTTAAAAGAATACTCTTATTTAATTGGCAGGGAGAGGCCGGGTGTGGTGGCTCACGCCTGTAATCCTAACACTCTGGGAGGCCGAGGCGGGTGGATCCCTCAAGGTCAGGAGTTCGAAACCAGCCTGAGCAAGAGCGAGACCCGTCTCTACTAAAAATAGAAATAAATTAATTGGCCAACTAATATATATAGAAAAAATTAGCCGGGCATGGTGGTGCATGCCTGTAGTCCCAGCTACTCAGGAGGCTGAGGCAGGAGGATTGCTTGAGCCCAGGAGCTTGAGGTTGCTGTGAGCTAGGCTGACACCACAGCACTCACTCTAGCCTGGGCAAAAGAGTCAGACTCCGTCTCAAAAAAAAAGAAAATCAGGTATGGGTGAGGGTTTGAGCATAATTCATCCTGGGGCACACTTCCTCTCCATCTGTGGACCTGCAAAATAGAAAACTAGTTATCTGCTCCCAAAAGAAAAAGGTGGGACAGACCTAGGATAATAGTTTTAACGCATTTAACAGTAATAATGCATTTTTTCAAAAGGGGAGAAAATGGAAATGGGGGCATGAGTCCTAAAAAATTTTGAAATCCAGTTTAGCAAAATCCTTTAGGTATCAAGAGCTGGGAATGCCATCTGTGGTCAGGGCCCTGCCCACAGGGCTCCCAGCTCTGCAATCTGGGCTCTCCTTTGTTGAGTCATCCTTGCTTCTTCATGTAAGGTAGCAAGGACTGGCAGCTCAGATTTCTATCAGTCTCATATGTATAGAATGGAAGTTCTAGACTCCTTAATTTCATTCTCTCACTGTCCCTTTAGATCTACGGTGACAGTGTTCCTACTAGTATAAAATTTTCAAGCCAAGTGTGGTGGCTCACACTTGTAATCCCAGCACCTTGGAGGCCAAGGTAAGAGGATGGCTTGAACTCAGGAATTCAAAGTTACAGTGAGCTATGATCATGCCACTGAACTCCAACCAGAACAGAGCAAGACCCCATAATTTTCAAGAACTTTGTGAGTCTCCTGTGTATCACTGGGATTCCCTCCATTAGACAAGAGGTTTATCTGATTTTTTTCCCCTCTATAATCCCATTTATTTTTGGCTTTTGCTGGGATGATTGAAGAATACCTTTAAACTTCTTAGATGCTCTCTGTTTGTACTGAGGGGACCTGCAAGTCATACTTAATCTCTTAAAAGAGCTTTTTATGATGCAATATCCTGATCTTTTGATCTTGATATTAGCAAAAGGTTGTGTAGCCACACCCATGGGTATTTCTCTAGAGCAGGCGTCCTCAAACTATGGCCCATAGGCAACATGCAGGTGTTTTTGCCCGTTTCTTTACTTCAAAATAAGATATGTGCAGTGTGCATAGGAATTTGTTCATAGTTTTTTTTAAACTATAGTCCAGCCCTCCAACTGTCTGAGGGACAGTAAACTGGCCCCGTTTAAAAAGTTTGAAAGACTCATGTGTGAATATTTGTAGCAGCTTTTCAATATTTTAAAATGGGGGATATGCAAATGCCAATTAAGATAAATGGATAAACTGTGATGTATCCCTACAGTGGACTACGACTTAATTTTAAAAATGAGCTATTCATACATATAACATAGACAAATCTCAAATTATGTTGCATAAAAAACAGACCCAAAAAACCCAAAATCAAAACACTTAGATTTACACAAAATTCTAGAAAAGGCAAAATTTAGCTGTAGTGAAAAGTACTCAGTGGTTGCCTAAGGATCAAGGGAAGGAGGGCTTCAGAAAGGGCTGAGATTCAGTCACATTGTCTTCAAAAAAAAAAAAAGAAAGGGCTGAGAGAGGGGTTATGAAAGGGCATGAGGCTAACTTTGGGGGTAATAGATGTGTCCAATGTCATTGCTGGGGTGATGGTTTCATAGGTAATTAGATATATCAAGACATCAAGACTTACCAAATGGTACACTTTAAGTATGTGCGATATACTGCCTACTGATTGTACCTCAAAGAACCTATAAAAATTTATTCCATTTAAAAATCTGTCTTCCACTTCTATTGGAAAACTAGGTGACTGGACATCAATAGCAACTCTTCTACCTCACTCCAAATGCCTTGAGATGATCACCTTTTCTGTAGAAGCAAGAAAAACTGGCAAGCAGTGAAGGTCATTTCCAACAGTCACCAGGAACTTTGGCTGTTCACAAAAGCTACATCCTCGGACCACATTATCTTGTTACTCTCAGGGTTACTGCCTGTGTGGCAAAGACATTAGGTAGAGAACTCTAGGAGGCACAATAGTCTAAGAAAACTGCATCTTTTGCTGCACCAGTGACCTTGGACATGAGCGACACAGTCCTGGAAACCTTGAGAATTTCTGTACATCTGATCCCATACGGTCAGTGACCAAAATGTTTGTGAATGTGTTTTTACAATGGGGGACCTCCCCTCTAGTTTGCTGCAGTCTCCCCCAATCCCAATTATTCATACCCAATGTTTCTCTATCAAGTTAGTTTCCCTCCTGGATGCATTAGGTTTTACCCTCAGTGGTGACCTGTGTGCTAGATTCTGACCTTCAGCTCAGCAGGTCCTGAGGAACAGCTTTCTCTCAACGGTGTTAGGACTATGGGACATACACTGGAAACAAGACACCCAATCCATGCTGCTTCCAAATGCACTGTAGGTTGTCACAACAGTTGCACCCTTACGGTGATGTGTGGGCCCTCAAATAACTGAAATCCAGACTAATGAAGCCCACAAAGATCTGAATTCTTACTTAATAAGCTCTTGTCGGCCGGGCGCTGTGGCTCACGCCTGTAATCCTAGCTCTTGGGAGGCCGAGGCGGGCGGATTGCTCAAGGTCAGGAGTTCGAAACCAGCCTGAGCAAGAGCGAGACCCCGTCTCTACTATAAATAGAAAGAAATTAATTGGCCAACTGATATATATATAAAAAATTAGCCGGGCATGGTGGCACATGCCTGTAGTCCCAGCTACCCGGGAGGCTGAGGCAGAAGGATCACTCGAGCCCAGGAGTTTGAGGTTGCTGTGAGCTAGGCTGACGCCACGGCACTCACTCTAGCCTGGGCAACAAAGCGAGACTCTGTCTCAAAAAAAAAAAAAAAAATAATAAGCTCTTGTCAGCAATGGAATTTAACACCAAAACTGGACTGAGAACTGTTCTCCACGAACCCACTGTCCCATTTGAGGCACAAAAAGTTGGATGCCCCCACAAAGGCTGTTTTGTTTACCAATTCAGTTTGGCACAGCCTGTTTTCAATCCACTCTGGACAGTGAAAAGAACCCCCAAGATTAAAGGTGGCTTAAACTATAAGGCCTTTATTATCACAGAGCAACAGGAGGGAAGTACTTTCCCAGGCTGGGTGACAATGGAGGCTGGAAAATCCATCACAAGTATCACATGAGACCAACAATGTCCATAAAGAAGGTAAACCTTCTCTGTAAGCTACCAGCAGAATACAGCTTAGGTCCTCTTGGCTAAAGATGGGTCATTTCAACACCTATACTAGGCAGAGAGATGGGCATGAAGATCTCTGGTAAATTCAAGAGTCTCATGATTCTCTCCATTGGAGAGAATACAAAGTCCTGCTTTCTGTGAGGATGTTAGGGTCACTAAGCTGGTAGAGTTAAAATGGTTTCAGCCACAGTGACAATGACATAAATATGGCAAGGAGTCTGAGAAGGTGAGAAAGTGCAACACAGTCCCTGGAAACTTCCTATGTACCTGGCACTCAAAAGGTATCTCCCTCATGTCAATGTTCAGATATCTGAGGTTCAACATCTGACTGATGAGTCTTGTGTTAAAAGTACTCCTACAGCCTGCCTGCAGTATGAACTTTCTGGTGTCGATTGAGGTGGGAGCTTAAGCTGTAGGCTTTCCCACATTCACTGCACTCATATGGCCTTTCTCCAGTGTGAACTTTTTGGTGCCGAACAAGGTGGGAGGTTCTGATGAAGTCTTTCCCACATTTGCTGCACACAAAAGGCCTTTCACCAGTGTGAACCCTCTGGTGTGCAATAAAGTCAGAACTTCGACTAAAGAATTTCCCACATTCAGTGCATTCAAAAGGCTTTGTCTCAGTGTGAATTCTCTGGTGTTTAATAAGGGTGTATTTGTGGCCAAAGGATTTCCCACAATCACTGCAATCATAAGGATTTTCTCCAGTGTGAATGCTCTCATGCTGAACGAGTGTGGACTTGTGTCTGAAGACTTTCCCACAATCACTGCACTTATAAGGCCTTGCTCCATTGTGAACTCTCTGGTGTACAATTAGGTTGGAGTGATGGCTAAAGTATTTCCCACACTCACTGCATTTGTAAGGCATTTCTCCAGTGTGGACTCTTTTGTGCTGAGTAAGGTTGTCTTTTCGACTGAAGGTTTTTCCACATTCACTGCATTCATAAGGCCTTTCTCCAGTATGGATTCTCTGGTGTTGGACAAGTGTGGCTTTGCGGCTGAAGGCTTTCCCACATTCGCTACACTCATAAGGTTTTTCTCCACTATGGATTCTCTGGTGTTGGACAAGTGTGTCTTTGCGGCTAAAAGCTTTCCCACATTCACTGCACTTGTAATGCATTTGTCCAATGTAAAAGTCCTCCCCACTTTCAGTGTTCCTGGGTGTCTTCCTCTTGCTACGAGAAGTTATTTGCTGATGACTACCCAAACTATCAAGGAATTTCTTCTGGTCCTTTTCACACATAAAGGGCTTCTCTGATAGGTGAAGTTCTTCACAAACTGTACCATTCTTCCCAAATGAAGCCTTGCCTTCATCCCTTCTTAAGGGTTTCTCTACACTGTAATGCTGCTGGCCCACATTTGCACTGAACCAGAGTTGTCTCCCACATGCCCCACACGTGTGAGGTTTCAGTCCATGGTGTGTTCCATGGTGTTCATCCAGGTGTAAAATATCTTTCAAGATGGGGCCACATATGCCACAAGAGTGAGGCGTCTGTGTGGATGAACCTGCCTCAGAAGTATTAACATGTGACGCTCCAGAAATGCTCTGCTGAGAAGGTGCCTCTTCATCCTCCACCCCACGCCAACAATCTGAAGGCAGAAAAATACTGGTGATGTACTTTGGTTAGAGGAGGCAACCAGATCACAAATGTGTGTCTAGCCTACTCAGGATTGAGTCCATGGGTTGTTGGCAGAACAGAGCTAGGATGGGGTTGAAGAAAGGGTTGCTGTACAATACTGGGATTCAAGAATCACAGAATTGAGAAAGCCTCATGAGGGACAAAGACACAGAATGGGGTGTAGTGCAAAGAGAAGAGGCAAGCATTATCTCCAACTTAATCCTCTGCAAATGACTTTTAGCAGGGTCTTGGCTGGCTGGTGACAGGTGAGTGCTACACAGAAATGTGTGTCCAGGTGTTGGGGGCTGATTCTCATGTTATGCCTTATACTAATCATTCACTACAGCCTGTAATGTACATGTGCTGCCTGACGATGCAACAGTAGTCAGCATTTTCTTCAGACACGGTTGCTGCCTTGTGACTTGATAAGAGGCCTGAGTTGTTACACATAAGCAAATGCTCCCAACTCCCACACAGAGGGCCCCCATGGTGGGAGTCTGGAGGCCATGAGAACAAGAATAAGAAGAACTCTCCTAAGAACTGGCCCCCGATGGTTGGTAGTCAATGATGGGTAAGACTCCCCATGGGGGGGGGTGACCTAAAACAGGCACAACCAGGGGGCCAGGGAGGAGCCGCCGCCTGGGATTGAGACCAAGAAGCACTTTAAATGGCTGCGTTGTTTTATGTTGCCTATCTCGGCCTTGGCTTTTGAGCTCTGTCCAGCACCTTAACTTTAGTAACCATTCTGAAGTCTGAGACTATGGGAAATTGTTCCCTTTTGAAACAACTCCAGAATTGACTGATATCACTGCTATGCTCAGATGCTCACATACAAGGACTAACCTTGGGTCTGGGGGATATAAAAATAAAGCAACCGGTGCATTGGTCACTCAAGTCATTGTCATGTCCATGTGTGTCTGTGTTGTTATTTTGTGTTCTGTGTCATCCCCGTCCTGTAATTGGGCCACATCATGCAGGTCCAGGAAAATATGACTAAAAATGAGTAACTCTTTAAGGATAAAGGAACTATTTAAGGATATGTGCACATCTTATAACACATTAATGTAGTCTAATATTAGAAAGCACTGCAGAGGGAGCAGTGGAGAACCTTCTAGTAGAGAGTGGGGGAGGATAGCCCTGGGTATGAAGTCAGAATGGAAATAACAAGAGTGTCCACAATGGGGAGGAAAAGACAGAAATAAGTTATGATCTTTGATCTTGGCACCAAACAGTGGTGGCACAGGACAGGTTACTGGAACTATGTGAACATATATGACCCTGAGATCACACCATGCCCCAGCTCCCACTCACCAGGGCCTATCCAAGCCCCTCCTGCTGTGGCTAGAGTCATGCCCTCTTAGTCAGACATCCAGAGTTCTCTCCTGTTACAGTTCAGTGACCACAGAGGATCTGGAAGACACAAGTCACAGGGGAAAGATGGGACAGGTGAATGTACAAGCACTAGTTCAGAGTAACCTACCTGTGCAAAATCACAAGAAAACAAATATTACAAAATGAACCTTAGAAAACTGTCTTGTAGGACCAGCCCAGGGGGCCCCACAAACAGTGACCATGACTGAAATTCATGTCAATGGCAAACCCAAGGAAATGTTAATTAGAAGGAAAGGGTAGGTAGAGCCTGAAGCCCAGAGGTGTCATGAATATGGACACAGTCATCTGGCCAAGGAGAGGCCAACCAGGGTGGTATCTACTGAGTTGACCTTAAAACCCCTGACCCCCAATCTTTCTGGCAAAGCTTCAGGGAAGCAGGAGTTGGGGAATGCAAGAAGTAGAGGGGGAAATGCATACTGCTGAAGCTTGGCACCCAGAGGACCTATATGAGGCAGCAGAAAAACAGCAGTGCCCATAGGTCCAGCTGTGGGAAAGAAAGAGAAACTCCTGGGGCAAAAAAGAAAGGCAGAACCCAGCCCAGAAAACTGAGATACGTGAGGCCCTCACTGAGATACATGAGTGTTAAGTGCAAAGCACAGAAGGCATTATATCATGCTAGAAGAGTCTCTGAGCCTCATCAAGTAGCTCCCACTCCTCCAAGGAGAAGTATACAAACACTTCTCAAAGGTTGCATAGTCCTGAATGAACTAGATAATTGAGCACAGAGCAGCCTCTCCCCCCAGGACTCCTGGGCTACCCCACACACATCCAACTCTGACAAGATTATAAGGCCCTGGTGTGATTTTTGTCTATTCTCTCCTCATATTCCATTAAACATTTAGAACCACACACAGGTGGACAGATAAGACACCATTTATATTCTGGGCCTGCCATGCAGGGTCCCAACCCTTCTCTTGCCAGTCAGATCCCTGGGTCCACAGATTATTCCTCGTACACAAATCTGGAATCAACATTTTTCCTGAAGTTCTTAGTATCAAAGCCCTGGGCCCATGAATTCACACTCCATCTCTATGTGCGTGTCAATCTTCTGGCCACACCTCCTTCATATCACGTCCATGGACATGCACAAAACCCGTACCTCCTTGGTCTCCCCATATACAAATCTGCACACAGCATCCAGAGAATGCTTGGTTAATGCATCCAGATCACATCTAGCCCTGAACTCAGCTATTAAATCTTCCCATCCTTGCCCTATTTCTTATGTCAATTCAGCAATCCAGAACCATATGCAGATCTCAGTTAAACTTGGTCCCTTTCCACTTTGCTGTTGTACTGCTGAAGATGTTATTTCCTTATTAGTCATGGGCTTTTTCCCAACGCTTGACTTATTCAAAGCCCACACCACTGGGCCCCTACCCCAAGCACAGTTATTTTGCCAGCTGACCCAGTTTGTCCCTGAGCTAATCCACTAGCTTGATTAAAATTCCTCAGGTCCCATCAAAGGTGGGAGAGCACACAAAGAGGTGAATAAGGACCAGCTCTGGCCTCACTGCCAACTTAGTTTTATTACTACAATACTTCAGCATCCATCTCACATCCACAGTCTTCCTGGAACCCTCTGCCACTTGCTGGACCCTATTCTTCCCCTCCCTCCCAGGAACACCACCCTCCTTTTTCTTAGCTCTTAAATGCCTCCTACCGCCACCTTGCTGTGCCTGTACCTACAGTGTGACCCCTAATGGAATAGCCACCATGACATAAAGATGCTCTCTCTAAAGTGGATGCACAGCTCTACCAGATCCACATACTGGCTGCCACCTTGTAGATGTCTCCAAACTGAATCCCTTCCCTGAACTCCAGACTTGTGTTTCTAGCTATCCACTTGACACCTCCACTTAGATGTCTTTGGAATATCGCAGATCCCACATGTCCAAAACTATACTCCTCATATTACCTAAGAAAGCTACCCTTACCATCAACATTGCTATCTCAGTTGATGACAATCTTTTATTTTCTCAGACCAAAAAATGTGGGGTCAGCCCTGACTGACCTTCTCTCTCTCACCCTCCACATCAAAAAATCTGGCTGGTTCCACTTAAAAAAAATCCAGAAGGCAACCACATCTCCCACTTCCACAGCCACCACTCTGGTACAACCTGAACTGCTGCAGTAGGGTCCTCACTGTTCTCCCTTCCTTCCTCCTTAACCTTGGTCTTTTCTTCACTGCACAGCCACAGAAAGCTGGTTAAGATGAAAGTCTTCTAGTTCCAAACTTTCAGGGGCTTCCACTTCTCTAAGAATAGAAACCCAGGTCCTCAGGCTTCCATTCCTGCACTGAATCCTATTCCCTAGTCTCTGATTCCACCAGACATAACAGAGACTTTAGGTTGCATGAACACTTTCGGCTCAACCTGAAATGAAGTATCTGCAAATGCTGGTTGCTGTGCCTGGGACACTATTCCATACTTCATCCCATTGCTTCCCAGAAATAGAAATTCTTCCACAGAATTCAGGACATAGGACTTTTGGCGATCCTAGGACCCACAAACCAAATGGCAAGAAGGGTAGGTGAAGATTCTCAGGATGCCACCATTCCCTATATTAGGTTGCCAGTATCATGGGGGTGAGCTGGGCTGAATGAGGGCCTGAGATTTTTGCAAGGATCACAGGATTCTGCCACCAACACAGTGAGGCTGGGATTAGGTTTACACAGTAGGGTCTCATGGACTAAATTGTTCCCCTAACCCCTGCTTTGCCCTTCAGTGGGTATGATCTTAGGTTTTCTCTTTAACATCAGGTAACTCAGGGCTCAGTGCTGCCTCCTACCAGCTGTGTGACCATGGATAAAAACCTGTATCTTTCTGTCCCCATCTTTATTGTGGGGGTGATAATGGTACCCACCTCATAGGAGTATTTTTTTGTAACAGACATGCTTGTACATGTCAAGTACCTCTGAAATAGCTATGACTATCCTCAAGTTTAACACTTTTGTAAGTGACCTGATGGGTTTTTGAAAACTTGAGTTTTACCTGCTTTTAAAGAAATATGGTATTTAAGACTTTCCATTGTAACCAAACACTGAGGCCCATCAGTATTTCAACCAATCTCAAGCATTGGTATAAATTTAACTTACTTTATGTACATGCTTTTGATTTTTAGTGGCTAACTTATGTCTACAGGCCAGATGTATACTAGCCCTCTCACCAAACTAGCCTACCTCGTGCACACTCCTCTAAAGGTGAGCTGTCAGTGGACCTTCATTAGAGTTGTTCATCAACTCTTCTTACTTGAAAGTTTGGGGAACTTAGGCAACAGTGCCTAAGATGGGGCTTCTCCACTAATCTGGCTGACCTTTCCTCTGCTCCACAGGCAATGCTCATCATGCTGAGCCCATAGGGTGGCAAATCTATAGCCTCCCACACCTTGGTCTCCATCACAGGGCAGGCCATGCTCCCTATACCCTACAGTCCTGTCTTCCTGCTAATACCACCCAAAATCCTTTCATTTGCCAGCATCCCTCCTTTCTGGAAGGAATCTCAAGGCTATCCACCCCTTCTTCCCTGGACTCTGGCCATAGCTCTCACATCTGTCACGTGAGGGACCACATAACATCCTTAATATCCCTCTTCCCTAAATCTGCTCTACAGGTTTTAACCTAATGCCTTGCCCCTTGGGATCTCCAGCAGAACTCCAGACCTGCATGTCCAGCTGCCCATATGATGCCTCCACTGTGAGACACCTTAGGTTCACCAAGTCCAAAATCCAATTCCTGATCCCCTTGAAAGGTGCTCACTGCTCCAACTTGCCCATTTCCCTTTTTTCAGATGTTCAGGAAAGGGAAAAGAGAGAGAAAAAAAAGGAAAAAGCAGCAACAGCTTAGATAACCTATCCCTCACCCTCACAATCACATCTGATGCAGCAAGAAAGCTTATTGGCTGTATCTTTAAAAACCTATCCCAAATCTAATGATTTCTCCACCTCAGCCCCTCCTGGCTCTGCTCTGGCCCGTCCACCACAACATTCCTGGAGTCTATCACAGTAGCCTCTTCACAGGTCTCCCTGCCTCTGTCCTCATCAACCCTCCCTCAAGCTAGTTTGTTTCCACGTCAACGAACATTGGAATATTTTAGAATCCTTTATCAGATCACTGCCCCCCACCCTCAAAACCCTCCATGGCTCCTAGAGTCCTCGCGACGAAATGACAGGGCTTCATTCTACCATCGCAGGCACAACCACCACTCCCACAGTGCTCCCTGCAGATACAGGAGCGTTTTCCCCAACTGCTCTAGGCTCAGTCGCGCCTCCACGCCTTTGCTCGCGCCAGTCCCTCTGCCTGTCACACCTTCCCACACCAGGCGTTAGAAACGGGGCTCCACTCGCGAGCAAACAAACCGCTGCCCTGGACACGGGCCCGGGCTGCGCCGATCGCTACAGGCGCTTCTCATTCGGAGCTTTAGCATGGCGAGGTGACAGTCGAGACGCGTCCAAGCCTGGGGAAGGCAGCACCCACCTGCCCAGGACCCAGCACCGCGGCCACCGCCATCGCACTCTGGGCCGCGCCGAGCGGTTAGAGGAGAGAACCGGGTCGGGACACAGGCCCCGCGGCTGGCCGGTCCGCCTCACACGCGCCGCCACCGCTGAGCCTCTTCGCAGTGGGGACAGCGTCTCCTCCCGCACCTCTCCGCTTTCGTCACCTCAGAACCACCGCAGCGTTCCCACTTATGCACGGACGGTTCCACCCCAACCGCCAACAAGATGTCCGCCGCGAGGAAGATGCCGGAAATCCCGCCCCAACGGTTTCCGTAAGCACAGAAACGCCCCTAAGAGAGCAGCCGCCGAACTGGCGCTGAGGTTTCTGGGCAATGTAGTTCCCAGGGTGCAATGGACCTGGTCGTCGTGTTGGACCTGTTCCCCTCGCCGCCCCTCGCCCCTCAGACAAAGGCCTCATGGGACCCCAAGGGGCGCCCGGAAATGGTGCCCTGAGGCTCCGCAGGCGGGAGAGAGCGTCGCTCCTCCTTAAGGGTCCGCACCCAGGTTCCAGAGGGCACTGTGTCTGGGACCACAGAAATACTCAGAAATGTTCTCTTTCAGATGTTCCCCCAAAGCTACAAAACCAAATGGACGCCACGTCAAATGTCACTCTGAGTCCACTCATATTTCCCTCAATTTTCTTTTTTTAATTTTTGAGACAGAGTCTGGCTCTGTTGTCCAGGCTAGAGTGAGTGCCCTGGGGTCAGCCTAGCTCACAGCAACCTCCAACTCCTGGGCTCAAGGGATCCTCCTGCCTCAGCCTCCCGAGGAGCTGGGACTATAGGCATGTGCGCTCACACGTGGCTAATTTTTTCTCTATATATTAGTTGGCCAATTAATTTCTTTCTATTTATAGTAGAGACGGTCTCGGTCTTGCTCATGCTGGTTTCAAACTCCTGACCTCGAGCAATCCGCCCGCCTTGGCCTCCCAGAGTGCTAGGATTACGGGCGTGAGTCACCACGCCTGGCCTTCCTCAACTTTCAAAATGAGCTACTGTAGAGGTAAAATTTAAGTCAACTTTGTGAGCTTCAGCTGGATCAGAGGAGAGAGAGAAAGATCCCTGAAGCGGGTCATGGAGTGGACGAAGAACTGTCCCCATGAGTGTCTATGGGGGCATGTTGGAGTCTCTGAGGCAAATGGACTAATGTAGCTCCTTTCCGCAGGGGAAATTCCTGTCATGGGCCCCAGGAGGAAGATGGGAGGGATTCCTGGGCTGCAGGGAGGCAGGTGGTTGGGGCAGGCACCTTTCCTGCCTGTGTGGTCACTGGAGGTGTCCAGCTAGGGTGCAATGCTCTCCCATCTGAGTGGTACTGCTTAACTCCAAAGCTGAGATAGGTTTCCTTTTAGGAATATGCCATCTGCCTGGAAAGGAGAACCATTATAAATGTCCTCATATGCCAAGACGGCGCTGATATGGTCCTAGTGACAGCACATGCGCAAAGGTGACATCTGTACCTGGAAATAAAGATTTGGAATGCTATGATGGAGTTTCTGGACTGGGGGGTGATTATCTTTCATTTGCAATTACAGGGGCAGTTTGACTTGAGATTTGAGATTATTTATGGAAAGAGAAAAAAGAGAGGGAGGGAAGGAGGAAAGAGAAAAATGAACATTTGTGAATTGTTTAAATTACTGAAAGTGAATAATAGTTCTGTAGTTATTCAAAGATATGTGCAGAAATAGCTCTGAGGAAACATCTGTGGTAGGTGGAAACCGTTAAGATGTCAGCAAAATTTGAGCAGGAGACATTGAAACAGAGCATGTGGCTGTGTTAGACCACAGCAGGTTTAGTCTCCAAAATGTAATTTCTTTTCGTTTTTAAAAATACAGAGTAATAGTTGTTGTGGTGGAGAGGGAGAAGAATTAAAGAGAACATTTAGAAAGTATTGCCAGGATGGTGAAGATGAACAGGGGCGCTGTAGTATTATGGTTATTCACATCTCTAACATATGTTCGCTGAAAACCTACTGCATTTCAGGCACTGTCATAAGTGCATGGAACACTTACAAACAAGAGACAAATGAGAGACAAAGACCTCAGTTATCAAGGAGTTTGCACTGTATTCAAGGAAGACAGAGGAGGAAATATGGAAAAATACATGAAATTACCTGGAATATTAGAATATGGAAAACACATGGAGAAGAGAAAGGTGGGAGCATCAAGAAGTGCTGGGATGAGCTGTAATGTTGCACAGCCAAGGGAAGCTAATTTGTAGCTGGGTCTTAATTTGTAAAGGATGTAGAGAAGCCAACGTCATTGAAATAAACTACTTCGGTATGGCGCTCACCGGCCGAGACACCTTGCCCACAGCCGGCACTTGCAGCAGTCTGTGCTGTGCATTGACGACGGATCCATCTTGCTCTTGTGTCATGAGGAAGGGTTGAAAGCACTGAAAGCTTGTTTTACTTTACAGACAGCTTTACTTGTCATGTAAATCAGTATAGGTAACATATACATATATGTTTTCATTACGTTATTTTTAAATGTTCACAATTTTATTTTGATACATGAAAAATTAGAAAAGTCAAGTTTTGTTATTAACGCTAAAGTCAACGCTTGGCTGTGTGCGTTCATCTGTGGCTATCGATTATAGTCCACGTTCGTCCCTGGTTAATGCTACTCGCAGTTCCGCTAGAAATGAGAGGCATAGCACGCCATGGCAGGGCCACAGGAAAGACGACTGGTTTTGGTCAGGAGACAGAAAACCTAGGCCAGAGCCTTTATTGTGTTTTCCTTGGGAAAAGGCAAGCAGAGCAAACAGCTGATGACTGGCTTTGGGCTATGGGCTATTGGGGTTGTTTTTGGGTTGCAGGGGTGATCTCTAGTTGCCTGATACCTGGCCCCGGGATGAATGATTTTAGACAGGAAAAATATTGATTTGGTGTGTAAGAGTTAAATAAAGGGGGTGGTTTGCCTTCCTATAAGAAGCCTGATCCTAAGTTGTGCACTATCTTTAGGAATTAGCTATCTCTGGGAGGGGCAGTCTCTCCCAAACCAGCAAGATTTTTAAGATTTCAAAATATTATAAAATACAGAAAACAAAAAATATAATTAATTCAGAGACCTCCTTAATGAGACAGTGGTCAAATAAACAGTTGAAGGATGAGGGTCCCTCACAGATCATGCCACAATTATACACGGAAAAATATTCACATAATATGTGTGTTTTTGGAAATTATAAGAGGTTCACAATGAATTTATGGGCTATTAATTTAGGCAAGATTTTAAGCTCATAAAATTTTAAGCTCATAAATTTTCAGGATGCATTTAAATACCTCTACATTCTGAGGTTATGAAGCCCCACTCAAGGTAAGCCACTGAGGGCTTAGGTAAAAGCTTAAGCTTTTCTTTTTTTTTTTTTTTTTTTTTTCGCCACATGAGGACTTAGTTATAACAGCCTTTAACACTGTCTTTTTTTTGATTTTTGCAGATTGCTCTTCTGTTAACTTCTGCTTTTGTGGGAGACAGAGTCACATACGCTATGTGGTAATCAGCCTACTGCGTACGAGTGTAATGATTGCGCGGGGGGCGCGAGCAACATAGCCAAAGCAACTTCAAACTCCCCACTCGAGCTCAGATGAGTCCTCCTGCCCTCATGGCCGCATCCGACACGTAGCATGTCAGGGACTATCAAACAGGCACGAGCCACCATCAGTTCTCCGGTTTCTCCTGATAATTTTATATTATGGTTATTAGTTATTGTTGGCCAATTTAATTCTTTCTATTTTTATGGTGAGATGACGGGGTCCTCGCTAAGGCTGGTTGTTGAACTCCTGACACTTGATGCAATCCGCCCCTGCTCAGGCTCACTCAGAGTGCTAGGATTAAGGTCGGAGCCACGCACCCTGGCCAATTGCTTTTCTTGTAAAGAAACAATTATTACGTTTGGGGGGATGGCAACCCGCCTGAAGCTCTTACCTCGAGGGAGGAAGGGAGGCATGGGCAAATATATGTAACCTTAACATTTGTACCCCATAAAACGCTAAATAAAAAATTAAAATTAAAAAGAAACAAGTATTATGTTTATAAAATTAGAGATAATAAAGTTAAATGAGTATTTAGAGATGAAAAGGTGAAATGAAAATGAAACTCTTTAACATTTTTTAAATAACAATGACTGCCAAATTTCTGAACGTTACTTTCCATTTCATTAAATATGATAATTTCAACAAAAGCGAGAACTCTGTGCTCAAAAAAAAAATATGATAATTTCTAAGATATGTTAAAGAAAATTAGAGCCCTTGATAGAAGAAATAAGACCTAGTGTGATAGATGGTAGAATGACTATAGTTTTACAATAAACTATAGTTAAAATAGCTAGAAGAGAAGAATTTTGAATGGTTCTAGCATAAAGAAAGAAAAATGTTTAAGGTCATGGATGCCCAAGCACACTGATTTGATCTTACAAATGAATGTATTAAATTATTATAAGTACTTTCAAACTATGTACATCTATTATGCATTAATAACAAATGAAAATTAGACTGGGCAAGGTGGCTCATGCCTGTAACTCCCTAGCGCTCTGGAAGACCATTTTGGGAGAATTGCTTGAGCTCAGGAGTTCCAAGACCAACCTGACCAAGAGTAAGACCCCATTCCTACTAAAAATAGAAAATGTGGCCGGGCATCGTGGCGCATGCCTGCCAGTCCCAACTACTTGGAGAGGCTGAGGCAGGAGGACACTTGTACCCTAGAGTTTGGAGTTGCTGTGGAGATAGGTTAAGACCATGTCATTCTAGCCCAGACAACAGAGTGAGACTCTGTCTCAAAAAAAAAAAAAAAAAAAGAGAAAGAGAAAAAAGAAAGAAGAAAAGAAAAGAAACAAGCTGGCCAGTAGTTACACCAGTAAAGCAGATTTCGATCAGGAACTATTGCAATAGGGGAAGAAACCTCCAGTATACGACTGGCTCATTCTGAATACAGCAATGGGCAAAGTGGGATTTTATAGCCAAGAACAGCAGTAGAGGGTAGGAGGGTGTGTCAGTAAATGGCAAATTACTAAGAGGAAACATCAGGGTAAAGGTACATCTTGCAAAAGTAATCTAACAGGATCTCACTGAAGGCAGGCCCAGGTGTGGCCTCACCTGCAGGACATTGTGGGTGAAGAATTTGATCAGATATTAAGGTCCAATCCAGATATGGAGGTGAGGGATTCGGCTAAATCAACTTAACAGGATTCTTTTTTTTTTTTTTTTTTGAGAACAGAGTCTCACATTGTTGCCAGGCTAGAG